AAGAAAAGTGTCCACAAAGGGGAAACAGAAAAAAATAGTCGCATTGTTGAATCAAGATAAGATCTATTATGTGAAAAAAAAACCATAAATGAAACGTAATTGAATATCTAATTTTTATTAGGTTCATAGTCAAGATCATTCTTATGACTTGTATTGAATACTTTGATATATCAAGTACAAAAAAAAATGCATCCTCTTTTAATAACTATTAAGATTCGAATAGATCATCTAACAAATCTTTATCTGAATCAAAATATTTTCATTTACCATACTGGCATGGCTCTTCTAGAGCGTGCCGAACGTTGTTCAGTTCGCCCTTGCTCAACCAGAATCGTTGTTGACTCTTCAGACTCCTGGATGCATCTTATCTAGGATGGCCAGACAATTCGTCGTCGATGTGAATGGGTATCTTTTTGTATACCCTCACCGATACACTCATTCACATCTACATTCTTCCTTGATGCTCCTTTGAGATGCATTAAGACTAATACGTCATGCAACCAATTGTCTCACGAGGAATTGTCCTAGCATCCTTGTCGAGTCTCAAATATTTAGATATGTTTAACAATGAAAATTGAATTCTCGTCTTGTTTTTAAAATAAAGATTGTCTATATAGATGTAAAAATAGAAGTAATTCACCTGCTTGCATCAAATGAACTACATAGGAGTATCCAAAAGTAGTGGCAACGACATTTTATTACCACATATTAAGGTTGAGAAAAATTTCTTTTTACATAGGATGATAGAGCGAAAAAAGCTCTTTCTTTCTATGCTATTTGATCATACTTCAGGTGACATCATAATAAAAAAATCCTAATAAGGCTAGTTTGCCTAACATGTGTTACGGTTACAGAAGTTCATATTATCTTCAATAGGCATTCTTTTCTTGATCTTTTCTTTGTTTTTCTTCTTTCCTTTATTCTTTCCTCTCACCTTCTTCGAGACTTTGACGTTCATTCAGGTTAGCACATCCGAAAATTGAAAATACATAAACAAGTTCAAGTAGTTTTTATTTCATTAAATGTTCAAAGTAATTGCCTTGATTATCTACACACAATTCCATTCTTTGAATCTATTTATCGAACGTTTTTCTGTACACTTCTTTATCCAAACAATACATGAACTCCGTTATAGCGTTGTGTAACGATTCGGAATCAGTTTGATCAGTCAGATTTCGTTTGATCAAGTCGAACAACCAAAAATCACACGGAGACAGATCTGGAGAATTTGGTGGTTGCGGTACTACGGTAATTTCTTCTGAACGAAGATAATCGAGCACGTCTTTATGAGCATGTGCTCCTCCGTTATCATGATGAAGTTTGATGGCATGAATACCTGAGAGAGGTCTTTGTTTCTTGATTTCTTCGATAACAGGTTCCAAACAGTTTTTGATGTAATATTGGTGATCGATAGTTTGTTCACCTTCGAAACGATAGACTAGAAGAGGACCAGTTGATTTAAAAAAATGCAGAATAGAGTTTTCAGAGCAAACTTATTTCGTCGCACTATTGTGGGCGGAGGATTGTCTTTTGCCACCCAAGCAGCATTGGAAACTTTTCGACCAGTTTGCTAATGGAAAAACCACGATTCATCACCGGTTACCACGTCAGACAAACGCCATCTTCCTTCTGTAAATCTTGACAGATTTTCTTTGCATATTCGAACTTGTTCACTCCGTTGATAATCCGTTAGCTGTTTCGGTATGTAACGAGCAGTAATTTTTCTAAGTTCCAGATGATCAGATAATATTCTATGAACGGTGCCATAACTTAGACCAGTATGCTCTTGTAATTCTGCTATTGTAACATGGGGATCATCACTAACAATACTACGAATTTCTTCAATATTTTCAAGAGTACTCTCAGTTACAGGTCTACCGGACCGTTCTTCATCTTCAATTTCTTCTCGACCTTCGCGAAACCATTGAGCCCATCTTGCAATTGTTCAATAAGAAGGGGCTTCATCACCGAAAACAGTACATAGCTCGTCGTGAATAGTTGTTGCTTCAATATTAAGCGCTGTACGCACTTTAATGTAGAAGCGAAAATTTTCTTTGTCATTGAAAGCAAAAATGAAAGGTAGTAAGATTCGGTTTAACTTTACTTCTTTCACTTTCTATAGAATAGAGTAGCACACGACACGTGCACAAAAAGACGCATGTATCTTTGTATACATATGACAAACGATAAAATCTCAGAAGAGTGAGAGGAAAGAATAAAGGAAAGAAGAAAAACAAAGAAAAGATCAAGAAAAGAATGCCTATTGAAGATAATATGAACTTCTGTAACCGTAACACATGTTAGGCAAACTAGCCTTATTAGGATTTTTTTATTATGATATCACCTGAAGTATGATCAAATAGCATAGAAAGAAAGAGCTTTTTTCGCTCTATCATCCTATGTAAAAAGAAATTTTTCTCAACCTTAATATGTGGTAATAAAATGTCGTTGCCACTACTTTTGGATACCTCTATGTATATATTGTGATAATAGAAGAATGAAAAACCAACACAAAAATGCTTCATTAAAGAGCAGAAATTATTGCTAGTAATAAGATAAATGTTCGCAAATTAGAAAACAAAAATGCTTTCTATGTATCCATATATATGTATAGTGATAATGAAAGGATGAAAAACTAGCGGAAAAATGCTTCACTAGAGGTCAAAAATTAGTACAAGTAATAGGAATAATATTCCAATAACAGAACAAAATGTTTTTTATGTATTCGTATATATACAATAAGTATCAAAATTGATCTACCAACTGGTTGATTATTTTCTGTTCTGTTAATATCTCGAATGTCAAATGAGTTCGATAGATCTGATTTTCGTCATGTTGTAATTCATGGTGCCTAGTATTCATACACAAAATTTCAAAGCATAATATTAATTTATTCAGTTTTTATTAAAAAAATACTGCAACCTGTCATTTTTTATCGTTCCAAAATTGATCAACCAGTAAAACCATACAATGTTTTTCTCATTAAAAAAAAAGTTATTTTCACAATTTTAATATTTTGTTAGATATCCTTTCATACGCAAACAGTAGTCGGATGTGGGTGGGTGTGAGTTTGCCGTTTTTTCTTTATTCACATGCATACTCATACGTACACTCACCCACAGTCACATCCACGAAGGAATGGATGAGTGACGAAGTAGACTCTCATATATCCTAATTATGGACAATTTTCATCGAGATGTTTCAAATAAAAATTCTGTTTTACATTCATAACAAATACATAAAGGTGATAAAAAATTCCAAAAACTTATTTTGATGACAGTGACAAAATCAAACCCGTGGGGATCTGGATATGAGGGTGCTTTCGTTGCATGAAATTTATTTTCATAATAAATAGGTCTAAATGAAAAGTTAATTATACAGGGTGATAGAAAACTCCACGGGCGTTCAGAATATATCATTATTTTTTAAAAACTATCTTATTATAGAAAAGATTTCGTTAAAATACTGAACGCAGGTTCTTTTTTCCTGGGGTATATATGTATGAAAAATGTAATCTATTTGTTGAAGAAAATTTTAGTTTACATTACTAATTTCTTTAATAATATTACAAAATGTTGGATTAATTTCTCGTAAATCAAGCTGTCTACACTGATCATCATACTATATCTATTTTAGCTTGTTCTATAATGAGGACGTTTTTATTCTTTCAGTTAAGGGAAAATGTTCACAATCAAGAAGATACGCAAAAAAAAATGATATAATCAAATTAAATAAAGACAATATACAGTTCAGCAGTAATTCAGAGCAGTTGATTTAGTTATTTGAAGCTATATGGATGTATATATTTGTCACAATAGCATACAAAAAAGAAAATATAATAGGAAAATTCTAGTTTTGTACTATGATAGTCTCTAAACAAATTCATGATTGGCTATATCTAACATTTCTGATCAGGGTCACTGATTACGGAGGAGATGATGGGAGTTTTTCCTTCTAAAAACTATCAAATTTTTTCGGCAAAATTTTTTTTACAGCATGATGGAAAATCGTGACAGAAAATGAGTTTTAGTGGTTTTAGCTCTGTTTCTGACAAATATTCATACGAAGATGCTTTCTCAGAGAAAATATCACAGAAAGACGAATGCAGATATTTACTGCCGAATTTTCAGTCTTTTCTACCTTCAAAAAACAATCGAAAATCCTGTTTCAATGCTATTTCACACGCTCTGACATTTATCTGCCTTTAGCATTTCATTGATGCAAATGGGAATGGAAAAATTCGTGAACAATCACTTATTTTTGTTGTCCAAATAAAGCAGGATAATAAAAATTTTAAAAAACTGCCTTATTTTACTAGATAATAAAAAATAATTTTTAATAATGGGAGAAGAATACACACTAGAGCCGTATGGAGTCACATTTTTTGACTCTAAAACTCGCCTTCAACTCTAAGAAAGCTCGAAAATTTTTTTGACTAGCAGCATGTATACTTCTTTTAGTGCTATTCGTTAATAAGAATGTCTCTCTAGTATTTTGCTTTTGTCTCGAAACTCATTTATGAATCTATAAAATACTAATGTTTTTGTTTATTACTTAACATATGAAAAATATACTTGTTACTATGCGAGAGTAAAAATATTTAACTATTTTACTGATGTAACTTCGACATTGATTGTGACTTAGGGCTCTAGTGCACATCTTCGTTTTCGCGGCTCCTGGTCACATGTATTTAAAAAACACATTCGTTTGAATTATCTAATCATTAGAATCATTTTAGGAGTCCTTCGAAGATGCTTAAAAACGACAATGCAAATCTATACATAATTAATTCATGTCATATTATCAAAAGATGTCGTTACTAATATGCCACCATGTCATATAAAAAGAACGTTCTATTGAAACCAATCACAATGCTTGACTCAAGTTCCTCCATTTTCCATGTTTTTTTTTCTCTGATCCATTCTTTCAAAAAAGAAAACAAACGTAAACATCCAAATAGCAATCTTATTTAAACCTCTTCTTTCTACTATCTATCAATCATGGCCGAAGCTCTTAGTGATGATGTCGAATCTAATATCACCAATGCTTCAGTTTCTGTTCAAGTCAATTATCCAGGTCCAAAATCTGATGTTCAATATCCATTAAATGTACAATATTGTGGCGGTCAGTTTCTTCTTCTTTCGATTCTAATGAACTAATTACTCGTTCAATATATATCCTACAGAATGTTCTCTGCCACTTGAATATTGCGAATATGGATCAGGTAAATAAATATCAAAATCTCAAATTATTTTTTCGAATTAATTTTTATTTTCAAGATCCTGAACGATGTCGTGAATGGCTTGAACGAACATTACCTGATTTATTAAATCAAATGCAATCTACAAATTCAAGTGATGATAAAGGTGGTGAAAAAAAACGACAAACACGTGGTGGTAAAGGTATGCCAAAAGGAAAGAAAAAAAGTGAAGCTCAAAAAATTATACTTAATAAACAACAAAGAAAAGGAAATAAATATGTTACTATTGTTCAAGGTCTTGCATCAAATGGTATGAAAAGAAAATTAACTGAAATTTATTTATTACTTTTTAAATGATTATTTGTTTTTTTTTTCTAGAAGTTGATATAGAATTAGCACGAAAATTTTTTGCTCAGAAATTTTCATGTGGTTGTTCGAAATCAGGTGATGATGAATTAACTATACAAGGTGACGTTGTCAATGAACTTATTGATTTATTACCTGAAAAATGGAATCAGGTATTCACTTTCTTTTTTTTTCATATATTTGATTTATTAAAGAGTTTTCTTTTGTTTATTTAGATTAATCCTGAACTAATCGAAGATAAATCTTGAATATAAATCTGTGTTTTTGTTGTGCGATGAGCAAAAAAAAATCTTTGTTATTTTTTATTTTATTTTACTTTTCGTGCAACATTGTACGCATCTTTCTCATTTGATTTTAGATTTCTCTTGCATCGATCGCGTGTTGTTTTTTAATTATTAGAAGAAAAAACCAATGGCTAAAAGCAAAAATCATACTAATCATAATCAGAGTATAAAAATTGAAATTTCAAAAAACTCTATTCAATATTATTTTATTTTATTTTTTATCTAGATCGAAAGGATCATCGTAATGGAATTAAGCGACCACAATCGCAACGATTTCCATCATTAACTGGAGTATGTCAAATCGGGGAAGAAAAAAGATTTAACATTTTTCTTGTTTTGTAATTTAAGGTTGATCCAAAATATGTTCGTAATTTAAAATTTACTAAACATCACAATCGTGTTGCACGTAAAAATTTACTTAAAACACGAAAAGCAAAATTGGCCAGTGGTGAAGTTTCATCAGATAAAGGTGTTAAACGACCTGCTCGTCAAATTGAACCAACAAAAGCCTCATGGTCACTTTCATCATTATTACAAAATATATCATCATATTTTACTGGTGAAACAACAAAACCTGTATCACGAAAACGTGCAAAACGGGTACATCCAAAAAAGAAATCAACTAAATCGGCAACAACAACAACAACAACAGCTGCTAAAAAATAAATTTTTTCCAGTTGTTTTTAATTTTGTGTTCTATGGACATATCATTAGTTTAATGATACTGTTAAAACACAATGAAACAAAAGAAAAGAAATAAAATAAAAATAAAAAACAAAAATCATCTATAAGAACATCGGGATTTTTGACTATTTGTTTTAAATCGATTTGTAGATAAAATATGAATATTGAGAAATATACAAGAAGAAATAGATGTACAATATGTTCGCATCTTTGTAAGTTATAGTTTAGAATGAAAACAAAACAAAAAAAGAAAAGGACAATATAAATCCATCTTTTAGCTTTGAACCAAGAAAGTAGAAATGAAAATCCTTGTGAAACATATTTACTTCAATTTTTAATTGAATTACAAGAAAAACTTGATAATCAAAATAAAATAGATGAACATTTTTGTAATTCAATTTTTGCTGATGAAGATGATATTAATCAAACATCATGCAATGGTTTAACATTGATGCATGTTAATATTCTTGGTGGTGAGTGAGCATGGTGTTTACCAGTATTCAATCGATCAATCAATAGTTTTATTCTACAAATAGTTTACCTTGCATGAAATAACAATTGATTATTTCAATATTTTGAAGACAAAAAAAAATACATTTCTTGTTTTCTAATTGTTGAATTAAATTAGGTCGACGTAGTGCGTCTGTAAATGAATCTGAAGAAGAAAATAATACATTCGTTCCACCATATGAAGAAATAATAGCATTGCATATTTGTCAAATTCTTTTAAAACGTGGTGCTTCGCCGAATGGAAATACTATTTATGAAATGCGTCCACTACATATTGCTATTAGAAGACAATGGATGCAAGTTAGTCGACTTTTGTTAGAAGCAGGTAGATTAAAGAACATACTACAATAGAAGGTGATCAAAAAGTCATCTGACAGTCTTTGTTTGCGAATAGCTATTGATACGAGCAAGATAGAGAATTGCGACTTTCATCGTTCAGAAGAGAGCTGATTCACTGAGTAGGCGGCCATCAACCGGCATGTTTAAATTGTCAGCGAAGCTATGCAAGGGTATAGTCTGTTTCGAACAGTGGAAACTGCAATTCTCTATCTTGTTCCTATCAGAAGCTGCCCGGCAACTTTTAGATCACCTTGTATATGTTGAACATATAATATTTGCTTTCAGGTGCAAATCCTAATATTCCCGAAAAAGATATATATGCTTCTCGACCTATGGACATTGCTGTACTCAATGATGATCCAGAAATGATTGAAGTATTTTTATTTTTGTATTTGTTTAGAATTGAATATCATTATTTTCAAATATACATAGTTACTTCATCTATCTGGTGCTTCTTTACATGGATTTAAATCAATGTTTCATCTACCACCACTTGCTGAAGCATTTACTCGAGGATATTTTGATGTATTCAAAATTTTATTAGAACTTGGTGCTAAACCAATATTAAATCTTCATAGAAATATATTTCGTTCATTTGGTACACAATTATTTGATACAGGTATAGAAGGACGACGACATTTTATACAATTATTATATGATCATGGTAATATAATGACTATAGAATAAAGTCGTAAAACTAAATTATGATAATATTTAGGAGGTGATATTGAATCTCAATTTAAATTACATGCATTACGTATTGAATCGGATGGAATTACTCTACATGAACCATATTTAAGATTTAGTTGTGATCCTATTTGTATTGCTGATCTTGATCCAGCTATATTTAAAAAATGGATTTGTAAGTCATACTATTATTGTTATTATTATTATTTAATATTGATTAGAATATTTTCTTTTTAGGTGAATCTCGTTCATTAAAAGCACTTTGTCGTTTAACTATTCGTCGTTATTTTTTTAATTTCTTCAATGATGGTTTTAAACGTCTTTCATCTCTTAAATTTCAAGGCCAATTAAATATTGACTTGTACTATTATCTTATGTTTAATAAACAAACATAAATCTGCTTTTTTTGTTGTGAATAATATTGTAGTGTTGCCTTTTATCAATCCATGTATGTAATTCAGAAATTTATATAATAAATCCATTATTTTGTTTCCTAATGATAATATCTGATAAAATCAGAATCCTGAATTTAATAATTAAATCATATGCAGAACATAGATTATTCATGAATCTCAATCATACCAAATGTAACGAATTAACAAATAAAATATCATAAAATAGAATTTATTCCAACAAATATATTTGAACTAGTGACTATGCTAATTTATTCCTAATTGATTTGTTTCAAGAGCTCTGATGAATAAAAGACTAACTTTTTTGAATAACAACAAGGAAAGTCTTCCAACTAATCACTCGCTTTTTTGTAGTCACGATTATGTGCATCATGTCGATTCCAATAAATTATGAATACTCTGAAAAGAGTTAGTGTCCTTAGCTTATTACTGCAGAGATACTATATTTTAAAAGTATTTTTTAAAATGAACGTTGTGGTTTTCTTGAGGAACACCAGAAAAACTGGTTTTCGAATTTTCATTTGAAATTTTGCATAGAGATAGACTTTACCGAGAGTAGTTTATTGTGAAAATTTCAGGTCTTCTGACTGATCTTTCCCGGTCTAAGGAAAAAAAAAATTGTCTCAATTGCATCAGAGCTAGAAAAATATTGCTCATGACTAGATTAGAACCTTTTCAATTGATGAAATTTCTTAATTTACCTCATATGTTATTATCCAATGCTATTCAACATTCTGAAGAAGTTTACTTTCAAATCTCATTATTCTTCATCTGATATAATTAATTACTAATTATCATCAATTTTACTATCAAACAAGAAATCATTGTATAAATGTTCAAAATGAAATTCTTGTAAAAAGTTTCAAGCAAACAACTCGTGATTTTATTTGAATGTTTTCTTATAATAGAACTAATACATGAACAATAAGAGATAAAGACGAAAAAAGAAAAGAAATAAGTATTCATCTCTATTTACAAAAAAAAACAAAATAAACAATCGAAAGATTTTTGAATAACAGTTGTCAGCCGTATCCTTATTCGTAACACATACATACACACACACAACAATAGAAATAATCTGACAAAAGACAATCACAAAATGAATTATTTTGATGATTGAGCAAGAGCTCGACGACGTTCAATATATTTTGAAACATTCCATTCTTGACTTTTTATGTTAACATCACCATTACATACAAATAATAATTTGATTTTTCTACTATATTTAAGATTTGGTAAAAGCTAAAGAAAAATATGAAAAATTAAATTAACGAGAAAACCATTCGGATTGATACCCGCTATTTGAACACATATTAGACCTATAAGGATGCTTGAGTAAGGCTAGCTTTTGTTCTAAAACTTTCGGAGTATTCTACGAGTCATAAGATCTATCTATCGATGAAATTTCAAGTTGGAAATCTGCTTTTTGATTTTTTAGTATGAACCTAATATTTGGTCGAAAACTCAGTAAACCCATGCTTATTCGGTTCGAAAAGCTCATGCGGACGAACTAAGAAGGGAAAAGCGAAAATTTCATACTCCAAGAATATGTCAAAGTTATTCTTTAGAACTTTTTAGCTATGTAAAGTCTATTATCCACATGTGTTGCAAGTATATTAATTTCAACTTATTTTATATAAGTCGATATGACAACAAAGTTTAAGTTCTTCATTGTACTTCACTCATATTTAAAGCTTGAAGTACAATGAAGTAATCAAGCTTTATTATCAGACAGAGTTATATAAAATGAACTTAAACTATAATACTCGCGACATACGTTAATACAAAACTCAGCATAGCTAAAAAATATAAGCTTCAATGGCGAGTATCACTTCGAATGACTTCCTCGTAAGGAAATTCTCTTTTTTTTTCTTACTTTAGGTGAAAGTAAAAAATATTGTGAATTAGCTTTATCAGATGAATGTCTAACAAGTAATTCAAAAATACGTCGTTCATTTGTTGGATCCATACCCTTACAAAAAAAAATAAATAAATAAACATTAAAGAAAATAAAAATTACGAAAACAAACAAAAAAAAAAAACGTTACTTGATTTATTTCATCAACACATCGAAATGGACAAATAGTCATATTTTGTAATGCAATCATATATAACATAACTGATACACTTTTTTCACCTCCACTTTGTAAAAATTCACTCTGAAAACAAAAAGATAGAATAAAATTTATTTTAATTTTTATCAAAAATTATTTTACCATTTCATGTAATTTTTCTCCATCACGAAATTGTACTTTAATATTAACACCATATTTTTCAAAATCTTTCTATAATTGAAAAAATAAAATTTTAAAATAAAAAAAAAGAATTCTTTTTTTTTTTCTCCTACTGGTGATTCAGGTATATCTAAACAAACTTGACCTTTACAACCCATTGTATTAAATAAATCAACAAATTTTTCATTAATATCATTAATCATTTTATTAACTTGATTTAACCAATTTGTTTTACTTGTATCAGCTGTTATTTGTCCTTGTTTAATTTTATTTTCAAGATCATTTATACGATTTTCAATTTGAATTAAATTTGTTTTTTCTTGTTGATGTAAACGAATAACCTGATTAAAAGAAGAAGAATTTAATTAATAAAATAATATTAAATTTTTTTTTTTCTTACATCATCTTTAATAGTTCCTTGACAACTAAGTTGAGCATTAAAATTCATTATTTCAGATTCTAAATCAGCTAAATTTTTAGGTAATTTAGCAAATTTTGTTTGTAATTCTTTAATAAGTTTATTTGGTAGAAGAGTTCCATTAGATGAAATGTTTTTATCTAATGATTTAATAATTTTTTGTACAGCAAGTCGTATTAATGTTTCACTTGCTTCAAAACGTTTTTTTGAGTTTATCGTTTGTTCCTAAATAAAAATTAAAGTAAAAACAAAATATATATAACTTCAATTCACAAATAATTTTACAACTGTTGACGATCATTTACGACTACTAGACTTATTTGATCTGAGCAAAGAACTTCGATGCTTTGTAATTGAACTCAGTAAGTAGACTGATTTTCGTTCAAAGATAATCAAGAATCTGTTCATTTGTTTTATTTTTCAAGTTATTTTCTTTATTATTCTTTTTCTCAGAGTAAGAATCAATTAATAGAAATTGAATTTTTACTCATACATAGATCTTCAAAATGAACAACAAGCTAATAATTATTTCTTGAACTCTTTAAAAAGGATAACAATTTTCTAATTAAATTCAAGTCAAATAGGATCAATCATAATACAAAAAAATATTATAAATATTTATATAAAGAAAAAAAATAATAAAGATTTCATAATTCATTAACGAAGTTACTTCCTCAGATATCTGCTTCCAATTTTATAGATATTACATAGTGTCCTAATAAAAACTCTAAAACAATTTAGGTTTCTATTGAGATTTAATTAAGCTATCAAAAAATTCAAAAGTTTTGAACAAAAGTCTCTTCGAGATATGAAGCTTTCAGAAAATGCGTATTGTATAGACTACCTAGAGAAAAGATTCTATATCTTGAAGGTCTCATATCTCGAAAAGACTTTGCTCAAAACTTCTGAATTTTTTGATAGCTTAGTCAAATCTCAATAGGAATCTAAATTCTTTTAAGATTTTTAGTAGAACACTATGTAGTATCTATAGACAAAAAATTATTGATGTCGGAAAAGGATATCTGAAGAAGTTTTTTTGTAAGACATTAAGAATGTCATGGTATGAAATCTTTGAGCATATTATCACATATTTCACGCCACAATCTTTATCATTTTTTTAGAAAACTTATTTTTCTATGTTTTTCTTTAGTAATCAGATCAAAATTTCAATAGCGATAAGATTCAGAAATAGCAACAGCTAAGAATCTCAAATTAAAATATGATTTGAGAATTTCCTAAATCTTCATCTAATATCATTTTTATAATTTGATTTAATGTAATATGGCGAACATCTCATCAAAAAACAATAGAACAAAAAAAAACCATACTTTCAGTTGAGTTAATTCTTCATTGTATGTCTCAAGTTTTCCAACAGCTTTAAGATGTTGTTGTCGAGCAAGAGCTACACGACCACTTTCGATCATCATAGTACTAGATTTTTGATTGAAATTCTAAATCAATAATCAAATCATATTATTGTATATTTATTTATTTATTTATTTTTATCAATGTGAATAACCTCAAGTTCTTTAACTTGTACACTTAATTTATGCATTTTATCTTCATGAATTTTCATTTCTTTTTCATGTGCTAATTTTTCTTCTTTTTCAATATCAATTTGTTTCTTTTGATATATAGTTAATCTAAATTATTAAATATAAAATTTAAAATTTATCATATAAATAAAGCATACGTATGTTTTTTTTCTTCAATTTTACGTTCAAGTTTAGCTTTCATATTTCGTTTATCATTGATTGCAATCTTATGAATAAGAAACAAGTTAGATTAGTATTACTCTCTTTTTTTTTTTTATGTAAATATATTTTACCTTTCGTGCTTTAACATCATCAAGTTGACGAGAAAGACTCGTTTGTTCTTTTTCAAATGTTTGTTGAGATTTTTGTAATTCAGTATAACGATCTTTCATTTGCTTAAAAGAAAACATAATAAATTAATGAAGAAAAGTTTTCATATATAAATCTATGCTTCTGATTGAATATATGACAGTTTGTTGATGTCGAAAGCATAGAATGTTTATTCCCAAAGATTGCTGACAAAAAAAAACCCGTCTTGAGCAAATATATTGTAAAACATTGGTTTATAGAGTTAAATTCTTATGCTAATTCAATTGCTATCATTCAACACTTTAGTATCGTACATTTGATGCTCGACTACTTTTAAAATCCGTCAATGATCTTTTAGAGATCGTGTTCTATGGATGAATTGTATAAAGTCTGAACAACTATCTGACATTAAATTAGACGAAAACAACATACTTAGCAATGCAATCTTACGAAGAAAGTGTCTTAGCTGATTAATCACTTTTGAGC